CCCGATCCCATCCCCTCTCCCGCTGTTCCCATTCCCGCTGTTCCCATTCCCGCTGTTCCCATTCCCGATCCCATCCCCTCTCCCGCCGCCAGGGGGTGTCTCTGTCTCTGGCTCCAGGGGAGCTCCTGGCCGTGCTGGCGCCCCCTGGCGGCGGGAAGAGCTCCCTGGCGGCGGCGGCGCTGGGACTGCGCCCCCTGGCGGGCGGGGCGGTGCTGCTGGACGGGACCCCCCTGAGCCCCCGCGCGGACCCCGCCCTGCGGAGACAGGTGACACCCCCGGGCCACTGTGGCCACCGCACAGCCCCACTGCCGCCCCTGAGTCACCCCGGGCCACTGTGGCCACCGCACAGCCCCACTGCCACCCCTGAGTCACCCCGGGTCCCTACTGCCAGCCCCTGTCACCAAACACCCTCTGACCCACCCTGTGCAGGTCCTGCCTTGCAGTGACAAGGTGACACCCCAGGCCACCCCTGAGTCACCCCAGATCCGCAGTGCTGTGCCCGGGTCACACCTGGGTCCCCAGCAGGTTCCCACTGCCACCCCTGGGTCACTCACATGTCCCCTGGGCCACCCCAGGTCATCAGTGGGTCACCAACGGGTCCCCGTGGCCACCCCCAGGTCTCCAATGGGTTCCCAACAAGTCCCCACTGCCACCGCAGGCTCACCAGTGACTCCCCCAGTGCCACCCCTGTGTCACCAGTGGTCCATCATGGTCACCATCATGTCACCCTGTACCCCCCATGGGTCCCCACTGCCACCCCTGGGTTGCCTGGTGTCCTCTGCTGCCACCCCTGGGTCACCACTGTGTCCCCAACAGATCCCCATGGCCACCTGCATGTCACCAGCCAGCCCCACCATGGCCCTCCCAGCGCCCCGTGTCCCCAGGTGTTCCCTCCTTGTTCCTACCACTGTGTCCCCCCTGTCCCAATGTTCTCCATGTCCCCCCATATACCATCATGTCCCCTCATGTACCTCCATGTCTTTGTGTCCCCCTATGTCCCCTGTCCCTGCAGGTGGCTGGTGTCCTGCAGTCTCCGTCCCTCCTGTCCCGCTCCCTCAGTGCCAACATCACGCTGGGTTGGGGATACGGGGAGGGGATGCAGGTGACACAGGTGACAGCGGCGGCACAACGGGTGGGGGTGCACACCTGGGCCACACGGCTGCCACATGGCTACAACACAGGTAAGAAAACATGTCCCCCTGGTGTCCCTGCCATGTCCCTGTGGTGTCCCCAGTGTGTCCCCATAATGTCCTCTCACCATCCCCAAGGTGTCCCTGTAATGTCCCCACAGCTTCCCCACCATGTCCCACTCTGTCCCCTCCCTGTTCCCTTACTGACCCCATGGTGTCCCCTCACCATCCCCAGAGTGTCCCTGTAATGTCCCCATAGTATCCCCACAGTGTCCCTATGGTGTCCCCTCTCTGCCTCCTCGCTGTCCCCTCACTGTCCCCCCTGTCTTCCCAGAACTGGGAATGCAGGGAGTGCAGCTCCCCAACACGTCCCCAGTATCTCCCCATGGTGTCCTTATGGTGTTGCCGTGGTGTCCCCACAGTTTCTTCTCTGTCCCCAGAAGTGAGGGGGGGGGGGGTGATCCCCACAGTGTATCCCCAGCATCTACCCAGCATGTCCCCATAGTGTCCCTAATGTATCCCTGTGGTGTCCCCACTGTGTCCTCATAACATCCCCTCATCATACCCACAGTGTCCACTTACCATCCCCACGGTGCCCCCATGGTGTCTCCTTGCTGTCCCCTCCCTGTCCCCTTACTGTCCCCAGAGGTGGGTGCACAGTGGGTGCAGCTCCCCAGTCTGCTCCCAGTGTGTCCCCAGTGTGTCTCTGTGGTGTTCCCACGGTGTCCCCTCTGTCCCCAGAGGTGGGCCCGCGGGGGATGCAGCTCTCAGGGGGGGCAGGCGCAGGGGGTGGCGCTGGCCCGGGCCCTGCTCAGGATCCCCCTCAGGCTGCTGGTGCTGGATGAACCCACGCGGGCGCTCGACCCCATGACCCGGTGCCAGGTGGGTCACAGCGCTGGCCCTGGTCCCCGCGTCCCCTGGCCCCATGGCCCCATCCTCTGGGTCCTCTGGGTCCCTGGGTCCCCATGTCCCTTGGGTCCCCATCCCCCACGTCCCTGGGTCCCCATGTCCTCCAGGTCCCCAGTCCCCGTGTCCCCTTGGTCACTGCCCCTCATGTCCCCTGGGGTCCCCCGGGTCACCACATCCCCTGGGACCCTGCCCCCATGTCCCCTGGATCCTCATGTCGCCAAGTACCCCATGTCCCCTGGGTCCCAAATCCCGGCGTCCTATGGGTCCCCATGTCCCTTGGATGCCATGTCCCCTCATCCCCCAGGTCCCCACATCCCCCACGTCTCCTCGGTCCCTGTGTCCCTACATCCCCTGTGTCCCCACTCCCTGTGTTTCCATAACCTCGGTCCCCACGTCCCTGGGTCCCTGGTCCCCGTGTCCCCTGGATCCCCACGTACTCCCTTTTCCCTTCCATGTCTCCAGGTCTCCTGTGTCCCAATGTCCCCACATTCCCTGGGTCCCTGCACCCTGTGACCCCCATGTCCCCATGACCCCAATCCCTGTGTCCCCACTCCCTAGATCCCCACTTGTGTCCCCCCTGTCCCCCCCACCCAGGGGTCCCCTGACACCGCCATGTCTCCCCCCACCCCAGGGTCCCCCCAATGCCCCTGGGCTCCCCCCCCGTCCCCCGTGTCCCCCTGTCCCCTGACCCCTCCGTGTCCCCACAGGTGGAGCAGGAGCTGCTGGGTCCTGGTGGCCTCGGGGCTGGGGAGGGGCCGGCGGTGCTGCTGGTGACAGGGCAGGTGGCCCTGGCCCGGCGGGCACCCAGGGTAGCCCTGCTGGAGGGGGGGCGGCTGCGGGAGCTGGGCAGCCCTGAGGAGCTGGGGACACCTCCCTGGGAGACAGCAGGGGACAGCAGGGACACCTGGGAATGGGGGGGGGGACACTGAGGACACTGGGGATGGGGACACTGAGGACGGTAAGGGTGGGGGACACTGAGGTGAAACAGGGACACGGATTAGGGATGGGGACACCAGGAGCTGGGCTGAGGACACTGGGGGTGGTGACACTGGGGATGGGGACATCAGGGACAAGGATGGGGACATGGGGGACAGAGAGGGAGATACTGCAGATAGGTTTGGGACACTGAGGTGGCATAGGGACAGTGGGATTAGGGATGGGGACACAGGGGACAGAGATGGGGCCACCAGGGACAGGGATGGTGACATTGAGGTGGGATGGGGACACTGGGGACACCAGGGGCTGGCTGGGGACACAGAGATGGGTTGGGGACACTGGGGACAGGGATGGGGACACTAAGAGGTGACATGAGGACACCTGGGGCTGGGATGGGAACAGTGGGAACACCGGGGACAGGGATGGGGACACTGGTGACACAGACATGGGGACCCCGGGGTGGGGCAGGGGACCGCGGGGCCAGGCCTGTGACAGTGACCAAGTGTGAAATCAATCAATAAATCACCAAATCAATAAATCGGTGGATCAATCAATAAATGCGGCTGGAGGAGGGCAGAGCCGGGATCTCCGTTCCTCCCCCCCCAACGGGGCCCCTCCCCCTCCCTCTCCCATCGCCAGCTGGGCCCCCCCGCCCTTCCCCCCCTATGAGCTCATCGTGTTGATGGAGAAAATTCCTTGGTGGGGGCGGGGGGTCACGGGGTGGGGGGGAAGGGGGGACACGGGGGGGGACACAGGGGGGTCACGGGGGGGAAAGAGGAGACACGGGCGGGACGCAGGGAGAGGAAAACGGGGCGGACACGGGGAGGACACGGGGGGAAACGGGAGGGACACGGGGGGAGGGAAGGGGGGAGACACAGGGAGACACGGGAAGGACATAGGAGGGGACGTGGGGGAGGACACGGGGGGGGCCGCGAGGGGCTCCCCCAACGCTGCCCTGCCCCCTCCTCCCCCCGGCTTTCGGGGGGTCCCAGGGGCCCCCCCGCACCCTCCCCGCTGTTGTTGTTGCTGCCGGGGCAGTGAGTCACGGCCACGCCCGGACTGGGGGCACTGGGAGCACTGGGAGGGGCCGTGCCGGGGCACTGGGAGCACTGGGGAAACCTGTGCTGTGTTACTGGGAGCACTGGGATGGGCCATACTGGTGTTACTGGGAGGACTGGCATGGGCTATGCCACGTTACTGGTGTCACTGGGAGCACTGGGATGACTGGGAGCGCTGGAAGCCGTAGGGCAGGTGGCACTGGGGTTATTGGGAGCACTTGGCCAGGCTGTATGGGGGTTAGTGCTGTTTCTGGGAGCATTGGGACAGACTATACTGGGGTTACTGGGAGCACTGGGATGGGCTGTCCCATGTCACTGGTGTTACTGGGGGCCATGGGTCAGGCTGTGCCGCATTATTGGTGTTACTGGGAGTACTGGGACAGACTATACTGGCGTCACTGGGAGCACTGGGGTGGGCTGTGCTACGTTACCCGAGTTACTGGGAGCACTGAGACAAACTTTACTGGCATTACTGGGAGGACTAGGCCTGGCCATACTGGGATTACTGGTGTTTCTGAGAGCATTGGGACAGACTATACTGGGGTTGCTGGGAGCACTGAGATGGCTGTCCAGTGTTACTGGTGTCACTGAGGTTACCGGTGTCACTGGGATGGGCCATACTGGTGTTACTGGGAGGGCTGGGATGGGCTGTGCCACATTGTTTGTGTCACTGGAGCACTGGGACAGACTATACTGGGTTGACTGGGAGCATTGGGAGCTGTGGGGCAGGTGGCACTGGGGTTACTGGTGTTACTGGGAGCACTGGGACAGCCCATACTGGGGTTACTCATGTTTCTAGGACCACTGGGACAGACTATACTGGGGTTACTGGGAGCACGGGGATGGGCTGTGCCGCATCACTGGTGTCAGTGGAATGGGCCATACTGGTGTTACTGGGGGACATGGGTCAGCCTGTGCCAAGTTACTGGGAGCACTGGGGGCTGTGAGGCAGGTGTCACTGGCGTTACTGCTGCTGTTGGGAGCACTGGGATTGACTGGGCTTTGTTATTGGTGTTATTGGGAGAACTGGGATGGGCTGTCCTGCAATACTGGGAGCACTGGGTTGGGCTGTGCTGTGTTATTGGTGTCACTGGTATTACTGGGAGCACTGGGACTGACTATACTGGGGTTCCTGGGAGCTGTGGGTCAGCCTGAGACACGTTACTGGGGTTACTGGGAGCACTGGGAGGACAAGCCCCCATCAGCAACTGTTTGGTTTCCATGGAGAAGTCCCAAACACGGGCGGGGGAGGCTCCCCTGGGAGGGGCGGGGCAGGTGTGGCCGCGGCCCCGCCCCCGGCCCCGCCCCCCCCCGACCCCGCCCGGTCCAGAGCGAGAACCCAGCGGGACCAGCCGGAGGTACTGGGGACACTGGAAAAGACCTGGGGGACTGGGAGAGACTGGGGGGATCTGGAAGGGACTGCGAGGGACTTGGAGGGACGAGGGGCAACTGGGGGAACTCAGGGAGACTGGGGGGATTAGGGGCAGTGAGGGGCACTGGAGGCACTGGGGAGGGACTGACAGCGACTGGGGGGGACCGGGAGGGAAAGAGAGAGACTGGGGGAACTGAGAGCGACTGGGGGGCACTGGGGGAACTGGCAGGGACTGGAGAGAACTGGGAGGAATGGGGAGAAACTGGAGGTACTGGGGAAACTGAGGGGACATAGGGTGTCGCTGGCAGGGACTGGGAGCGACTGGAGGCACTGGGAAACACTGGCAGGGGCTAGGGGAACTGGGGGGCACTGGGGGGCCCTGAGGAGGAATGGGGATCTGGGGGCACTGGGGGGAGATTGGGAGGACTGGGAGAACTGGGAGGGACTGGGTGGCATTGATGGGCACTGGGGAAGACTGGGGTGGCATGGAGGGGACTGGGGGAACTGGGGGGGACTGGGGGACTGGGGTCTCTGGGAGCTTTGGGGGGCACTGAGGGACAGTGGGAGTTACTGGAGGGGATTGGGGTGCACTGGGAAGGACTGGGGGGCTGGTGGACACAGTGGGGGATTGTGGAGGACTGCAGGGACTGGGGGCACTGGGGGGGGGGAAGGGGGGGCACTGGTGGAGACTGGGGGGCACTGGTGGACACAGCGGAGGATTGTGGAGGACTGGGGGAATTGTGAGGGGACTGGGGGTAGTGGCAGTGAATGGGGTGACTGGTCTTGCTGGGGCAACTGGTATTACTGGAAACAGTTACTGATGTTACTGGGATGTATAACTGGTGTTATTGGGAGAGGCTGCCGGTGTTACTGGTGTTACTGGGATGTGTTATTGGGACTGCTACTGATGCTCAGAAGCACAGGTGTTACTGGGGTTACTGGGATGTATTACTGGTCTTACTGGAGGTGTTACTGGAGTTACTGGGAGGTGTTACTGTTATTACTGGAATGTGTAACAGATTGCTGTGGTTACTGGGGTGTTACTGGGATTACTGGGATTACTAGTTACTTGAGCTACTGCTGTTACTGGTGTCACTGGTGTGACTGGGATGACTGCTGGCAGTGGCTGGAGGTGCTGTTGTGACTGGGGGTTACTGGTGTTACTGTTGTCACTGGTGTGACTGAGCTTGCTGGGGGGTTACTGGGTGTTACTAGGAGGTCACTAAGGGGTCACTGGGGTTTACTTGGTGTTATTGGGGGTCACTGGGCGGGTTACTGGCAGTAACTGGGGTTACTGGGAGGTGCTGTGGGTTGAGGTGTCTGTTTGTTTCTGTGTCCCTGTGGGTGTCCCTGGATGTCCCTAGGTGGATGTCCCCCCACAGGTGTCCCTGTGTCCCCTTCGGTGTCCCTAGGGGTGTCCCCCCCACGATGTCCGTGTCCCCTTGTGATGGTCCCCCAGGTGTCCCTGTGTCCCCTGAGTGTCCCCTTCTGGTGTCCATGTGTCCCTGTGAATGTCCCCGGGGGGGGTCCCTGTATCCCTTGGGTGTCCCCACAGCTGTCCCTGTATCCCTTACTGATGTCTAGGTGTCCCCAGGAGTGTCCCCTGCATCCCCCCGCCATGTCCCTGTGTGCCCTGGGTGTTTCCCGTGTCACCCCACGATATCCATGGCCCCCCACTGTGGGTGTCCCTGGGTGTCCTCTGGGTGCCCTTGTGGCTGTCCCATGGATGTCCCTGTCCCCACTATGTGTCCCCCTGTTTCCCCCCCAGTGCCCTCACACTTGCCCCCATTCCTCTGTGGTGTCCCAGTGGGTGTTCCCCAGGTGTCCTCCAGTGTCCCCGCGCCCCATGTCCCCCTGTCATGTCCCCCCATGGGTGTCCCCTGGGTATCCCTGTGGCGTCCCTTTGTCCCCTGTGGGTCCTCCCAGGTGTCCCCTTATGTCCCTAGGTTTCACCCCAGTGTCCTCATATCCCCTTGTTTCCCCACAGTGTCCCCACCACCCGTGTCCCCTGTGTCCCTCTGGGTGTCCCTCTAGTGTCCCCATGTCCCCCCATGAGTGTCCCTGTGTCCCCATGGATGCCCCTGTCCCCCCCCGGGTGTACCCCCACGTCCCCACTTCTCCCTGAGTGTCCCCAATGTCCCCAGTGTGTCCCCATCTCCCCCGTGGGTACCCCCTGGTTCTCCCAGTTGTCCTCCTCGGTGTTTCCCGCCCCGTGTCCCCCCCATGTCCACAAGTCCCCGTTATGTTCCCCTATGTCCCCCTGTGTCCCCCCCAGGACGATGCCGGTGACCCTGGAGCTGCGGCTGCTGCTTCTGGCGTTGGCGCTGCGGGGGGGGGGCGGGCACCCCCCCGGTGTCCCCTCCGATGTTCCCCCCGGTGGCCCCTCCGATGTCCCCCCCGGTGGCCCCTCCGATGTCCCCTCCCGAGGCCCCCCCCGAGTCGTGCGCGGCAGCGCTGGCGGCTGTGCTGGCGCGGCTGCGGGAGCTCGAGGGACACGTGCGGGCACTGAGGGGACACTGTGGGGACACGGGGGGGGCCCCAGGCCGGGACAGGTAACAGGGTACATGGGGGGCCATCGAGAGTCATTTGGGACTTTGGGGATCACTGGGAGGTCACTGAAGGATCATTGGAGGGACATGAGGGAACACTGGGGTCACTGGGGAGTCCCGGGGGGGGGTCATTTGGGGGTCACAGGGGGTCATTGGGGAAGTCGGGGGAGGGTCACGCTGGGTCTTTGGGGGGTCACAGGGGATTCATTGGGGGGGCCCCAGGGGGGTCTTTAGAGAGTCACAGGGATCATTGAGGGGGTCACAGGGGGTCACGGGGGTGTCACGGGAGGTCATTGGGGGACTCCCTGGGGGGTCCTGGGAATCATGAGGGTTCATTGAAGGAATCAAGGGGGGTCGCTGGGGAGTCGTGGGGTCATGACCTTGTGTCCCCCCGTGTTCCCTAGGCCGGTCGGTTCAGCTCTGTGCCCCCCCCCGCCGGGGGAAGCTGCGCCTGCCCCGCCCCCACGGCCGAGGCCCCGCCCCCTGCCCCGCCCCCCCCGTGCCCGCGGGGCTGCAGTGACCAGGGACGGTGTGAGCGGGGCCGGTGCCGCTGCTTCCCGGGCTTCAGCGGCCCCGACTGCGGCACCCCCGCCTGTGCCCCCGGCTGGGGGGGGCGTCCACTGCGACATCGGTGCGTCCCCAGAGCCTCCCCCGTGCTCCCAGAGCCCCCCCCAGTGCTCCCAGAGCTGCCCCCCATTGCTCCCAGTGCTCCCAAAGCCACCCTCCCAGTGCTCTCAGAACCCCCCCCACTGCTCCTAGAGCCCCCTCCCAGTGCTCCCAGTGCTCTCCCAGTGCTCCCAGTGGCCCCTAGTGCCCCCTCGGTGCTCCCAGAGCCCCCCAGTGCTCCCCAGTGACCTGACTCCAACATCCCCGGCTGTTCCTCCGGCTTGAGGGACAGTGCACCCCAGTGCAACATCAGTGGGTCCCAATGCCCCCCCCGAGCCCCCCCGTGCCCCCCCATGTCATCCCAGTGCCCCCATCCCAGTATCCGCAGTGCTCCCTCACTTCTTTTCCTGTCCGTGTGGGGGTTCTTGTGCCACCTCAGTGTGTCCCCAAGGGTGCCCCCGTGCCCCTCCCAGGGCCCTCCAGTGCCCCATCCCTGGTGTCCCCATCCCCTGGTGTCCCTATGGTATCCCCAGGGTGTCCCAGGGTACCCCCAGGGCAACCCATTCCCTGTCCCTGTGATGTCCCCCTGGTGTCCTCATGGTGTCCCCGTGCTGTCCCTGCAGAGGTGCCTGCAGTGACACCACGGTTGGCCACCCGCACCTCGACATCCCTGCGTGTCACCTGGCCCCGGCCCTCCCCACCTCCCGACGGCTACCGGGTGACACTTGTTCCCCTGGTGAGTGGGGACACGGGGGGACACGGCAGGGGACGTGAGGTGGACATGGGGGCCGGGGATGTGGGGAAGGGGGACAAGGACATTGGAAGGGTGAGACCCCCACACCACTTGTGTGACTGCAGTAGGCTGGCCCAAATGTGTCCCCTACATGTCCCCTACATGTACCCATGGTGTCCCCCATGCTGTTCTCTGCATGTCCTCAACATATCCCAAATGAGTCCCTCCGGTGTGTCCCCTCCTGGTGTCCCCAGTGTGTTCCAAACATGTGCCCAAGACATCCCTCTAACGTGTCTCCAACACGAACTCAGTGTGTCCCCAGTGTGTCCCCAACACCTCCCCAATGTGTCCCCATGTCCACAAAGTGTCCCTGCAATGTGCCCCCTCCGTGGTGTCCCCTGCATGTCCCACACGTGTCCCCAGTGTGACCCCTAGTGCGTCCCCAGTATCCCCCCCCAAGGTGTCTGCCTTGTCCCCTAACACTGTCCCCATCCCCAGGATGACCCCATGGCCATGACAACACATGAGCTACCCGGCTCTGCTGTGGCCTTCTCGGTGACAGGGCTGTCCCCAGGCCGCCCCTTCGAGCTGCTGGTCCAGGCCCGGCGGGGGCCTCACCTGGGAGCAGCAGGAGTGCTGCGCCTGCGCACAGGTGGGGACAGGGGGGTGGGGACGGGGGTGGCATGGGGACAGGGATGGGGAGGGCCTGGGGTCCTGCGCCTGCACACGAGTGGAGACATCTGGGACAACTGGGACACTGCAGGGACAAGGGTGGGGGGGGACAGAGATGGGGTTGGGGACACTGGGGACAGGGATGGGAGTGGGGATGGAGGGACAGAGGTGGAGACAGAGGGTGGTATGGGGACAAGGATGGGGACGGGGTGGGGACAGGGATGGCACGGTGTCACAGTCAAGGGGACAGGGATGGGACAGGGGGGGGGATGGGACAACAGTGAGGACAGTGTGGCATGGGACAGGGATGGGATGGCACAAGAATGGGGCTGGGGATGGGAATGGCATGGCCATGGGGATGGGGACAGGGATAGGGACAGGGATGGCAGGGGGACAAGGAAGGTGGTGGCATGAGTATGGAGACAGTGATGACAGGGACATGGGGACAGGGGTGGCACAGTGATGGGGACAGGGATGGGAATGGCACAGGAACAGGGATGACACAGGGTTGGGGAAAATAGTGGCATAGGGATGGCACAGGAAGGGGGACAGTGATGGAATAATCGTGGGTTTGGGGACAGTGTGGGGACAGCATGAACATGGGGACAGGGATGGGGACAGGGTTAGGGACACCCATAGGGAGACCATGGAGATGGGGACATGGAGGGGGATGGCCCAGGGATGGGGTCAGCATTGGGAATGGGGACTTGGACAGAGCTGGGGCAGGGGTGTCCCCAGTGGAGACTCTTGGGACACGTCAGTGACCCCAGTCCCCTTTGCTCCACAGCACTTGTCCTGGCTGTGCCCCCCCCCACGAGGGGTCCCCAGGGTCCCCTCAGGGTTCTCTGGGGTCTCCAGCAGTGGCACCATCAGCCCAAGGGTCCCCAGGGTCACTGGGGTCCCCAGGGTCACCAGCATCGCCTGCATCACCAGATGTGTCCTTGGGTTCACATGGGTCTTTGGGGTCACCAGCATCCCCCCGGGCTCCGGCGTCCCCTGTAGGTCGAGGGTCCCCAGGATCCCCGGCGCCCCCAAGGTCACCAGTGTCACCAGAATCACCAGTGTCACCAGAATTGCCAGAATCTCCAGGGTCACTAGTGTCTCCAGAATTCCCAAGGTCCCCAGTGTCACCAGATTTCCCAGTGTGGCCAGCATCCCCAGAACCCCCGAGCTTCCCAGAGTCACCAGTGACCCCAGTGTCCCCAAGGTCACCTCCAACCCCACAGTCCCTGGGGTCTCCAGTGCCCCCAAAGTCCCCATTATCTTCAGAGTTCCCAGAATCCCCGTGGTCCCAGCTGTCCCCATGGTCCCCGCTGTCCCTGGGTATCCCCTCCCTGCAGGAACTGGTGGCTCGGCTGTCCCCGTACAGTGGGTCCCTGCTCCAGCGCCTTGAAAGCCACCTTCGGGCCACCAACTTCCCACTCCGGGGCAACCAGACAGTGCCGGCAGTGGCCCGCGCCATCCTGGAATATGTCCTGCGCCGGCACGTGGCCCTGGGGAAGGGACAGGAACCCCCCTCCAAACCCCGAGGGGATGGAACACTCCTGGGGACCACAGGTGGGTGACACGCTGGGAACAGGATGGGGGAACATTGGGAAGGAATGTCCTGGGGAAGGGGATGGAATGTCCTGGGGAAGGGGGGGGGGGAAAGGGGCCACCTCGGGGGGGGGGGGGACAGGGATGGGACAGGGGCAGAACAGCGGGGATGGGGAGAAAGGGACATCCCAGTGAGCAGTCAGGGGATGGCGGGAGAGATGTCCAGGGGAGGGGAAGGGGGGGAAAGGAGGGGAATGGGAGAAGGGAAGTCCCAGGGAGGAGGGCAGTTGAGGGATGAAGGGCATGAGGGAAGGGGACATCACAGGGGAGTGGCACAGTGGGGATGGGGGGATCGGGGAGGAAGGGACATCTGAAAAGAGAATGGGGGGGATGGGGGAGGAACATCCTGGGGAGGGAGATGAAGGAGATGGGGCAGAAGAGAAGTCATGTAACGCCTGTTCTGGGGGCAGGGGAGGGTGGGAATCAGGAGCTGGTGCTGCAGTGGGGGGACACGGATGGGATAGAGCTGATGGAGCCATGGAGGGACGTGGAGAAAACAGGTACCGACGGAGGGTGGGAGATGGGATAGAGGCATGGGTGGATGTTGGCTGAAGGATGGATGGATAGAAGGATGGAGAGTTGGATGATGGATGGAGACATGAAAGGAAGAGGGGGTGGATGGAGAGAGGGAAGGATAAGGGGGGGGAAAGGTGTGGGAGGGCTGGAGAGATGGATGATGGATGGAC